TTGCCTTGCTCCTTTACAAATTGTAAGAAAACTGGGCAACATTTAGCAGTTTGGCCAGTCCCTTTGGGTGGTACTCACATAGTGCCTGAGGTAGACCTCTAATAATCCATTCACATGTTTAGTCTGCCCATCAATCTACGAATACATGTTGATGGAAAAGTTCAAGTCTAACCCTAACAGCTTGAACAACTCAGTGTAAAACCTACTCATAAAATGCTCGTTCTGATCACTAACAATGGTCCCCGACACTCTTCAGTACTTAACCACATTCTTCAGGAACAATCGAGCTACCTCTTCAGCTGGGCACTCTTTGGTTGCTGAAATGAAGATTCCATACTTGGAAAACCTATCCACTACTACCATGATGCTTCTGGACCCCTCTGTCTTGGGTAGATCGAATATAAAGTCCAAAGAAACACTTTTCCATGGTCGTTCTGGCACTGACAATGGTTTCAAAAGATCGACTGATTTTTTGAGCTCTACTTTGTCCTGTTGGTACACAAGATAAGTCTTTATATAGGCCTCCACATCATCCCTTATATGCTGCTAGTAGTACCGATCTTCTAGCAAAGCCAAGGTGTGGCTCACTCCTAGGTGTCCAACCCACCTTAAGTCATGGCACTCTTATAATGTGACACAAATAGTTTACTGCTCTTGGTGTACAATAAACCATCCTGCACCCAAAATCACCTAGTCTTATCTTGCTGGGCGTACTCTATAAAAGTATTGGCTATAGGATCGTGTGCAAGTCCATCCTTGATGCGCGACACCAATGACCCCTCTGGTTGACTAATGGCAGTAAGGTTAGCCCTTCTGCTCAGGGCATCTATCACCACGTTCACCCGCCCTAACTTGTACTCTATCTCAAAATCAAATTTCATAAGAAAATCTTGCCATCTCGTCTGCTTGAAGGATAACTTCTTTTTCATTTGGAAGTAGCTAGTTGCCACATTGTCCGTCTTAACCATGAACCTCGACCCCAATAGGTAATGGCTCTAAGTGCGTAAATAGTGCACCATTACAGTCATTTTTTTCCTGGATCGTGTACTTATAATCAGTCTCTTTCAGCTTTCTGCTCTCGAACGCGACTGGATGTCCCTCATGTATCAACACGCCCCCTATTACGTAGTCTGATGAGTTTGTATGCACCTCATACAGCTTGGCATGGTCTAGCAAGGCCAAGACTAGCTTTTTCGGTCATAGCCTACGTCAACCAATCAAAGGTTTCTTGGCACCCTGCGTTTCACTCCCATGCTCTCCCTTTCTTAAGCAAGTCAATCAATGGCATGGCTATTGCTAAGTGGCCTTTGATGAAATGCCTGTAGCAGTTGACCAACTCAAAGAATGACCTCAACTCAGTGACCTTAGCTAGCGGTTCCCACTTCAAGATGGCATTTACCTTGCTTTCATCTATGCGTATCCTGCCATCCTCCACTATGTGGCTTAAGAATGAGATCTCATACTGGGTAAACGAGTACTTCTCCCTTTTGACAAACAACTTGTGTACCCGTAACACCTCGAACACCTACCTCAAGTGGTCTATATGCTCTCTCAAAGTCTGGCTGTAGATCACAATGTCATCTAAATAAACCATAATAAATCGATCAATGAATGATTGAAGTACCTTATTCATAAGGTATAAAATGTTGCTAGGGCATTCGTGAGTCCGAATGGCATGACCAAGAACTCATACAAACCATACCAAGTGACAAATTCTATCTTAGGCTCATCTTCCTCTGCGATCCTAACTTGGTAGTAGTTCGACCTCAAATCCAGCTTAGTGAACCACCTTACGCTCCCAAGTTGGTCGAACAAGTCTGCAATGAGTGGGATAAATACTTGTTCTTAACAGTTAGCTTGTTTAAAGCCTAGTAGTCTATGCATAGTCGCAACGACCCATCATGCTTACACTTGAATAGAATCGGTGCATCATATGGTACCTTCGATGGCCTGATGAAACCAGCATAAACTAACTCCTTAAGCTACTTCCTTAACTCTTCCAACTCTATGGGGACATTCAGTAAGGGGCTCTAACTGGTGGCTTGGCCTCGAGCATCAGCTCGATTTTGTGGTCCACCTCCCTTTTAGGTGGTAGCTTGCCAGATAGCTTTGTGGGCATCACATCACTAAAGGTCTTCAGCACCTTTAGCACCTCTAAAGGTGTCTCGATCTCTTTCTCCCTTGGCTTTTCATACTTCAGGGCTACCAAAAAGGTGTCTTCCTCTCTGCTCACCGCTTGGCAAATTAGATGGTTGACACCCGTAACCTAACTCTGTACCCTCACCTCAATGGTACTAAACATTGGCACTATACATCCAAGATGCAAATACAATTGGTAAAAGGCACAATGAGGGCGTTAATTCGAACAAGAAAATCCAACCCAATCACAAACTCATAGTCATCTATGGGTATTACCTCTATGGTCTTCTTGCCTTTCTAGTCTCCAAGCTGTAACTTTACTCCTCGTGCTACTCCAATGGTTGGAACCCCCTTGGAGTTCATCGTTTTGATGGTACCAGTCATTTTTTGTACCTTTAGTCCTAGCTTTTGGGCTCCATCACTTAAAATAAACAAGTGTGAAGCACCTATGTCCACTAGTACGCTCACCTTTTAACCCGCAACCATTAGATCCACAAACATCAAGCCCTTTGGCTTGCAACTCCCCTTACTCTACCCAAGTTTTGCTGCCTTTACCTTTGGCTCCTCGTCAAACTCCTTGTCTACAGCAGCCAGCTTGCCCTTATATAGGCCGTTGTGCGCTATGTGGCTCCCTTCACATAGGTAGCATGCAAACGGCTCTCACTCCCTTTTCGCTTTCCACTTGCTTGCTGGTAGCTTCCTCTTACCATGCTTGTCTGAACACTCTCGGTTTCCATCCTTGGACTATCGGTCATGGTTCCTACCCTTGGACTACTTCTTACAGTCCCTCTTATCCTTGGCCTTACCCTTGGGCTTAGAAGACTCGAACTTGTTCAGTGACTTAAACTCTATCAAGGACTCAGCAGTAGTTATGACTTTAGCCAAATCATGAACTCCCCTCCGTTATAACTCATGCTTCACCCACGACTTCAGCCCATCCAGGAAAGCAAACAGGGCATCCTTCTCACCTAGATTCGAGATCTGAAGATCAGTTCAAAAAATTTTTAGACATACTCCCTTATGTCCCCTTGCTGGCTCAGCTTGTGCAATTTTGCTCGTACTTCATCATCGGCATACTTTGGGTAAAATTGCTCCATGAACTCTTTCTAGAACATTACCTAGGTTCCAATCTTGGCACTCCCATGCTTCACATCATCACTCTTATGCCTCCACCACAATAAGGTCATGTCAGTAAGATACATAGCAGTGGTGCTTACTTTAATCACCTCGTCTTGCATGCTCATGACCTAGAAGTATTACTCCATACCCTATAGGTAGTTATCTACTTCATTGGCCGCCTAGTCCCCTTAAACTCTTTGGGCTTAGAGACATCCATCCAGGACTTAGATACTTCAGCAAACATGCCATTCCCAATGGCAGTCTTGCATGCAATAAGCTCGCTAGTGAGCTCCTCTATCCACTTGCGCATGGCCTCCATGCCATCATGCATGGTCTCCACTTCAGCCTCCAAGGCCTCGTTCCTTTGGGTGATCGCATCCATGCCTTTATTGATAATAGCTTGTAACTCACCCTGGAGCTCATCCCCCATGGAGTCTAGCACTTCAACGTGAGTCTCCACTTCATCAAGCTTCTCCCTCATGTCGCCCATGGTCACCTCCACCTTGGCCAGTCTTCCATCCATGGTAGATCAAATATCTCTCGAATTGGCCTCTTGCCTCTTCCATGCCCCTGCTCTTGGGCCTCTGGTTGTTGGCTAGCAACGTCACTCCGAGATGCCATCTCATCGACAGTGATCTAACCTGCATAACACAAACACGCAGAATCAAAACTGCTCTGATACCAATTGTCACGACCTCTGACCTTAGACTCAGAATCCGTGCAACCTTAGGCTTGGAATCACCTCCTTCTAGCCTAAGTCAGCCTAAAACACAAGCGTGCAAGCACTAAAACAATGGGAAGGACAGAATGCGCAAGTTTGAGAGAAACAAAAGAACAATAAAATTACTGAAAATATGCTCGGTATTACTAAAACAGAAATGTGTATGATGTTGTACAAATGAGGTTAGAGCAGCCCTTTATTTATAGTTGAGGCTCCCAGCTATACCTATGTCTAAATCCTTAGAATCAAGACTAAAATCAATGAATTACAGAGATTACAATCAATCATGATTCTACTTTTTGAATCTAAGGATTAACCAGATCTACCAGAAGGCTCTTGCTGATCCTATGAGCTTCTAGAAGATCCTTTTGCGCATCTCCCCTTTTGGGCCCTTCTGGATGTGGTGCGGGCATCATGCAGGCCAAGCCTTAGCCGTGCGGGTTGGCCTGTAGGCTGTGCGAGCGATTTGGCCTTCTCTTCAAGGCTTTGCGCACAAACCCCCGCCAATGCACTTGGTGTGCAAGCCTCAACCTTGGGTGCGCGTGCTGATGCGCATGATGTGCTTGGTGCGCTTGTCTATGGCATGACACATAAACTTGGTTGGATATATACTTCGATCGTTAAATAATTCTATATTATATTCTATTATATAATAAAATTTTTTAATTTTACAAATAAAATTAAAAATTTGACACATATTTCATTAAGTTATTTGTAAAAAAAATATTAATAAATTATTAAATTTATCGTTTATAAAATTAAAAACTTGATTATAAAAAAATTATAAAAAATTATAATTAAGTATAATAAAAAACAATCAAATAATTATCATATATAATTAAATAAATCTAATATAAAATTAAATCAAATTTACACGTAAATTTTGATCTAAAACATCAAAGCTTTAAAGCTTAAAGGCTTCTTCTTTACACCATACCAAGACGAGGCCTTGTTGATAAGAAATTGATAAAATCATTGCACAGTAAGGGGCTTTATTTTCAAATGTTTGACCACGATTTTATTTATTATTCAAATGTGATCACTACAGTAAGAAATTCTAATTAACCATCAAATATTCAAACTATTACGATGATATTCCTGCATTTAAGCTTTTCATCACTGGTTAATTGGGTGGATATAGATGAGCAGGCAAGCGAGGCTGAGCAAGTGCATGCAAAGGTTTAGCCAAGAAGAGATCGTTTTGTGACTCGGACAGATTAATCTTTGCCTCATCTGGTGGAATCCTCCATGTAAATCCTTGAATCACCCTTGCCAACAGCATCAGAGTCATTGCAGTGCCAAGAGCCACGCCCATGCACCCACGCCTCCCTGTACTAAATGAAATGAACCTCAGTTCTGTCTCTGTCAGATCAATTTCAATCGAGCCATCCTTCAAATGGCGTTCAGGTTTGAACTCCAATGGCTCATCCCAAACCTTGGGGTTCCGGCCTAGGCCTACTCGGCTGAGGAGGACATGACTACCTTTGGGGATGAAGTAGCCAGCAACAATGGTATCGGCATTTGAGACATGGGGTAGGTTGAAGGGTGCAATGGGGTGAAGCCGATAAGCTTCCCTTGCACAAGCCTTTACATAAATGAGTTTTGGCAGATCAGACTCCTGAACCAGCCTGTCCTTTCCAACAACTCTATCTATTTCCTCAATTGCATTTTGGAGAGTTTCAGGTTGGTTGATCATCTCTGCCATTGTCCATTCCGCTGCATTCGAAGGATTGTCCACTGTTGCAAGCATTATTTCCTGCATAATTAAATAAATTCGTATATATATTGTTTAATGCAAGCCACAATTGAATTGATGACAAATTATAGAGGAATTTCAGGTATCCGCCAATTGCTTGTCCTCAATTATGGATAAGAATTAAATTGGGACACTAAAAGCAGGTGAATTTCCTCCTGATTAATTAAGTCGAATAGCAATTTTTTTGACAAACCAAAACATATGGCAAAAATCCACCAGGGTTAGTCCAATAAGAAAGGGATGAGTCGTTTTTCTTGTCAGTCAGGATTCAATTTGGAGAGTGTTCCGAGAATAAAATACTGAATGCACCAATCCGATTTGAAGGAATGCACCTTTAAAATCATCCAAGAGGAGAGATTAAATCCAAATGAAAATATACAAATACATGGCGGAAAGGTGTTTATGATTAGATTATATATCTCACCGTGCATTGGGCTTTGATTTCTTCCACAGAAAGTGCTGGTTTCCCGTTTGAATCCTTCGCTAAAATGAAAGTATCAAGCAGATCTTGAGGCTCTTTCCTCTTCCCATCTCTCCATTCATGTACTCTCTCATCAATTAAAGGATCATGGTAGTCATTCACAATTCTCATGGCCTCACTTACAATCTTCTCATGACCCTCCAAATCCAATGGCCTCAACCAGGGTATATAATCGGATAAGATGAAAGAGTAAAGGTGCATGAGCACTGTGAAGAGTGATTCAACATGCTCTTCTTCTTCATACCCAGGCCCTCCATCTTTTCTACCTTCCCCGAAGTATCTTCGGTTGAACATCATCTTCCTGATAACATTTCCGCTGTATTGCCTCGTTGCTAGTCTTAGATTTATGACTGCTGATGAGCCTGTAGAATTATCATCTCCATTGCTCTTGCATTGGTTATATATGAACCTAACAAGATTATCAGCTTCTTCGGTTCTCTTCTCAAGTAACCAACGAAGTCTTGATGGTGCAATTATCTCAGAAGCCACCACCTTTCTCATTTTCTTCCATTGATCTCCCCATGGCACCACAGCTATCGTCAAGAACTTTCGGCTAGAGTATTCGGTTGCCATTGTAACTGGCCTTGATGCAAAAACTGAATCATGTTTTTTCAAGAACTCTCGAGCAATCTCAGGTGATGTGACAGGAATGACATGAGTGTATGCAAGCCTGATACAAGCAATATCAGTGTCGAGTTCTTTCATGAGGGCATGAATCCACCGAAAAGTAGGCTTGTTTTTCCATATAATTTCCGCAAGGTTTCCAATAATTGGCCAGGGTGTTGGCCCTGGAGGGAGAGGTGCTTGATTGATTTTCTTCCTGGATTTGCACTTTGCCTTGACAACAGAAAGGGATAGAAACAGAAGCACAAAGAGAAATGTTGATTGCACAGAAACGATTCTAGTGGTAGCAAAATCATGCAAACCCCATGAAAAAGCTGAAATTGAAAATTTGTTTGAGGAAGTATTGTCCATGGCACACAAGAATTTGACTATCAAAGGCTTGAATTGGGTATTCTAAAAGATGGTAGCTAGTAGTGCATAGGGAATGAACAGCTGACAATGTGAATTCTTTAGAACATGATATATATACATGAAACCTCACATCAATGAATTCCTTTACTTTACTACCATTTTTGGATTATAAATGTTTTGAATAATGAGTCGTAGGTGAAACTTTAAAACCTAAGACGTTACATATTTGAATTTTCACCATCCTGCCTTTTTTAGACAAAAATCAAATGAGATATTTTACGTTGTTTTTGTTAGGGAAATCACCATGCACATGCAACACCCACGAACAAAATAGTTTGCTCAAATCTAGAATAAGAATATACAAATTTATTTGTTTCAGCTCAACTCAGAATGACTTACTCCAAACCAATCCACTAACAAATAAATCTATACAAATTTATTTGTTTCAGCTCAACTCAAAATGACTTACTCCAAACCAATCCACTAACAAATAAATCTTTACAACTGTGAGACTTTTAGAATGAGAAAAGTCACCAAAAACTTCTTACTCAAAACTTAACTCAAAACTTAATTACACATTTTAATATCCTACTCACTTAACTATTCTCTTTATGTCTAATTCTCTGGAGCTACCAAACCAAAATCAAAACATCTTATTTATAAAAGTAAAACTCCTTATACATTTACTAAACTCCCGATGTGGGATACAAGACAAACTCGAAACTCACTAACTTTTGATGTGGGATTGTGAGATTCAAGGCAAATCCTAACAAATTTTCCCTTGACTTAAATCTCCAAACACTTTAACAGTATCTGCAAAGCTAACACTAGGGGTGAGTAAATGGTCGGTTCGATCGATTTGGTTTGAAAAAATCAATAACCGACTTAACTGACTTTCATTTAACAAATAATCGAACCAACCGAATATTGTTAAATAACCGACCATAATTGAACTGATCAAAATCGTTTCGGTTCGGTTAAATAATTAATTTTTTTTATCATTTTTTTCCTATTATGAATAATTATTTAACCACAAATTCAATTCAATAAAATTCAAACTCTAGTATCATTCAAACTAAATTACTAAAGAATTTAATAATTTCAACAATATTTTACAAAAAAAAATAAAAATATTTATCTCAATTTTTTTATTTTTAATTATTAGAAAGTCGATTAATTCGGTCAATGCGGTTATCAATTTTAAAAACCAAAAACCAACCAAATTAACCAATTTAACCGATTTAAAAAATCAAATATAATTAAAACTGAATAAACCGAATCGATTCAACTGAATTCACTCGATTTCGGTCGGTCTAGTCGATTCAACCGACTTTTGCTCACCTCTAGCTAACACGCTTACCTTTCTTCTTTTCTTCATCATAGGGATCTCAGCAACTAAGCCTCCATAAAGCATGTACAAGTGATTTTTGACCCTATTATCTTGTACAATCACACTATAATTCTTGTACACTTTCAACCAATCATTACTACCATAATATGTGTACTCATGATAAGCTAACTCACTTAAAGCAATCAAATTATAGCTACAACTCGGTACATACCTTACATGACAAAGTGTTCTAATAACACCATTGTAAGATCTAAGGCAAACACTCCCAATGCCTTGAATCTACATCTTTTCATTGTTAGGAACCACAATGTCCCCATACTTCTCATTCTCATCCAATTCCACAAAGCAACTCCTATCATTGCAAAAATGGACTGTAGTAGCTGAATCAAAACCTAACTTTTATCACCTTTCAAATCTGAGTCACATTCACACAAGTGATTTTTGACTTTTTTCCCTTGTAGAATCACACTACCATTCTTGTACACTTTCAACCAATCATTATTACCATAATATGTGTACCTCCGAGAAGCTAACTCACCTAAAGCAATCAAATTATAGCTACAACTCGATACATACCTTACATGATGAAATGTTCTAACAACACCATTGTAAGATCTAAAGCGAACACTCCCAATGCCTTAAATTTGCACTTTTTCATTATTAGCAATCACAATATCCCCATACTTCTCATTTTCATCCAATTCCACAAAGTAACTCCTATCATTGCAAAAATGGACTGTAGCAACTGAATCTAAAACCCAACTTTTATCACCTTTCAAATTTGAATCTCATCCACATAAGTCGTGAAAATGACATCATCATCATCAGATACGATAACGACAGTATCACTCTTTCTTTCATCCGATTTCTTTTTATCATTCACCATTTTGAAAGCAATCATGTCCTTTCTCAGCTTCTTGCAGCGCACTTAGATACATCTATTTTTCACCACAATAACAATATTCTATATCACTGGAATCTCTATCTCTTGACTTAGATCTCTTTCTTGATCCATCAATCCTCTTTTGAGTCCTCCCTCGATCAAAACCCTCTATAATTAGTGTACTCCTCTCAGGGGATAAGTTTTGTACTCCCATAAACCTTTCGTTCTCACGCAATAAGGTAGTTACATCATCCAACTTTAAAGTAGACATATCCAACAACACAGTCTGAACTAAAGACCTATAAGACTTGAACAAAGATGACAACAAAATTAAAGCATTCTCTTCTTCTTTTAACTCATCAACAGAAATCGTCAGTAATTGAAAAAAACTTGTTGGGATTACTACAGCTATGATAGCACTTGTTAGGCCAAAAACCCCAATCTAATCACATCAACAAATGCATAATTAAATAATCATTCAATCACACAAGAGATAATAATTTAACGTGATTTGGTCTAATTTACATACGTTTACAGATGAAAAATAAGATCTACTAATAGTAGAGAATTACAGATATATATCAAAATATATCAACCACTTAACAATCAATACCCATAGGCCCTCTCAATTTTTTCTAATCATATAAAGTATTCTCAACCCAAACAAACACATACCCATGTGCACCATTTCAACACAACCAAACACATACCAATATGCACCCATACATCATACCTATGTGGACCATTTTAGTCTTCTCTAGTCCACTCTCAAACATTCAAACATACACACCCATAAGACGTAAATCCCTAGTACTCCTATACGGTGTCTATCCCACAAAATTCTATAACTCTCTTATATCTTTTTCTCATGTTTAACCTTGTAGAAACTTCACATATTTATAACTATATAAACTTACCTATTAAAAATCTCTTTCCTCTTAGAATTCTTCTTCTGCAAGTTAAACTTACCTATTAAGAATCCTTTTTCTTTTAAAATTCTTCTTTTGCAAGTCTTCTTATCCATCAAGCAATATCTAATAAATCCTAAACAAATATCTTATGGGATTTGAGTCACTATTCCTAACAATTTTCACCTTAACTCAAATTCCATCAAAGCATCTATCTTTATGCTATACATGCTTGGCTCTACCTGTAATGAAAGTCTCACAATCATCTTCTCTTATGTATCTTCAAGTTTCATGCAAATCGATCTTCAATCCTCAAAACACGAATTCTAACTTTTCTCTTGAATCGAACTCCTCTAGGTTTGCCTCTTCCCATGCCTCTTTCCATTCTCAAACCTTTGACTTTGATACCACTTGTTTCTTTCCATTTTCAAACCTTCGACTTTGATACCACTTGTTGGGATCACCATAGCTTTGATACCATTTGTTAGGAAAATCACCAGGCACACGCAACACCTACGAATAAAATAGCTAGCTCAAATCAAGAATAAGAACACACAAATATATTTATTTCGGCCTAACTCGTAATTGCCTACTCCAAACCCAATCCACTAACAAATAAATCTTTACAACTGTAAGACTTTTAAAATGAGAAAAATCACCAAAAACTCTTTACTCAAAACTTAACTCAAAACTCAATTATACCCTTTAATAACCTACTCACTTAACTATTCTCTTGATATCTAACTCTCTGGGACTACCAAACCAAAACCAAAGCATATTATTTATAAGGGTAAAATCTTTTATACCTTTATTAAACTCTCAATGTGAGGTATAAGATAAACTTAAAATTTACTAACTTTTGATATAAGATTATGAGATTTAAAGTAAATCTCAATAGTTTTTGGCTAAGAACAAGTCTTTACGGATAATTTTCGTATCTTGCAATTTGGATTGATGTGATATTTGCATTGATGAAAAAGGCCCAAAGTTTTCATATGTATCCATTAATTTTTACATTACCAGTAAGCACACAATTTCAATGCATACAGCCCACAGTAAATAAACTTGATTAATTACATTATACCAGATGTCAGATTAATAATTAGAATCATTATAAATGCATGCCTAAAAATAAAGCTAATTAGAAAACTTTTATGCAATTCACTTAAAAAAAATTGAAGTATTAAAGACTTTAAAATGATAAACAATTTAAAAAAAACATTATAATTAGTATATCTAGGTTGTCATTACCATATCTAAATGCATGTACAAATTAAATTAATGGAGATAAATTTAGTAAAAAAATTGACAAAAAATCATGTCAGGCAATTACTCATATATGGTAATTAAGGGTAAAACTTTCATAACTTATTAATTTTAATTTCGTGCGATGCATCAGTAAAAATTTTAGTTTTATATTATTAATTTGTTATATAAATATTAACATATAATTAATTATTAAACTACATATATAGCTCCTACCAAAATTGTTAAATTATATTTATTTATAGCGTTTGCTTTAAAACCCAAATATTTTCAAGTATCTAGCTTTCGTTTATAGGATAGATTGCTACATTAAAAAGAAATATTTTCAAGTAGTCATATATGGTAATGAATTTATATTTGATTTAATGATAATAAATAATGTATTGACACATCATTAATAAACAAATTCTAAAGTTAAAAAGTATTTAAAAATAAATTGAAGTCAAATTTTATTATTTATGTTTCAAAATTTTTTATTTTTTAAAATGTGCTCATTAATAATATAATTATCTAAAATTCACTGACAATATGTAAAATTTATATATATATATATATATATATATTAAATAAGGATATTTTATAATATTGAAAA